GGGGGGGGGGGGGGGGGGGGGGGGGGGGGGGGGGGGGGGGGGGGGGCAGCAATCAATTCAATAGTGTGGCAATGTTCTCCTTCATTTTTTTTTTTTCACAGGAGGCAAAACGGGTCTGGTGAACGCTCCTCTTATCCTTCCACTGTACGTGATCAGTCTCTTTAATAATTGTGCAAGGCAGGACTATCCCACTGGCTCCAGCAGCGTCTTACCGGAGAGGGTTCGTTTGGATAAATAATTAAAATCCTATCCCTCGGCTTAGCGAAAAGAAAATATTGACTCGGATCCTTCTTCTTTTCCATATATCAACTGCACCTGGATTCACCCTGGATAGTGCAGGTGAAGAAAAGAAAAAGAAAAAAAGGGGGGGGAAGAAGAGGAAAAGCCCACCTCCTCCACCCCGGCAGCCCTCAGATGTCTTCTCCGAAGGCTTTCTGGGTTTTCTGTCTCTGTCCTGGCGGGCTGTGCCTCTCCCCAAAGCCGCCTCGCCGCGCAGGATGGAGGAAGCACTGAAGGGCACACTGGTCTCTTTGCTCCCCCTTTATTCCAAGGCTGGGCGGCTTTGCTTCAGATATCCCCGCTCCGGGCATGAAGGTACTGGAAAGAAAGTTCTTACCTGCTATTTTCTAAGCCTAATGCATCCGATCCGCGTTTAAAGTACATATTTTTTAATTAAAAAAAAAATGGTCTGTGACCATTCACTTCCTCATATTGAGTCCCACTGAATTTTAATATGCCCTTTTAGGAATTTTCCTCTATTTATTTACTTAGCAATCCCAGCTGATGGAGGGACAAGAAAAAAAGGGGAAAAAAAAGAAAAAAGGAAAGAAAGAAAAGGCCAGATATATACAAGATAGGCTCGGATATTGGACCAAAGGAGAGATCAGTCCCAGGAGGATGTTGGTACAGGAAAGGAGGCGGCTCTCGTTGCTCTGCCAGTGTAATGATGGTGCTCACACATGTAGGACTCCTCGGGTACGGGGTATCCTTTGGTCTCTGGGCTAAACTGGCTACAAGGCATTCAAGTAAGTTTGCGTGCGGATGCTGAGCAAAACCCCCCTTTTTTAAAGGGGGAAGAAGGAAGAAAAAAAAAAAAGCAATCCTGATTTTTTTTTTTCCCCTCCCTTTGCCACAGTTTCAGTTCACGCCGGAGATCTCCGCGCTCTCCCCGGTCTCCCCCGCCGCGTCAAGCAGGACACCCCCTCCGTCCGGGGGAAAAAGCTCCGCCGCGGCGCTTCCTCTCGTCGCCTCTCCGCGGCCGCGCCCGCCCGCGCCTCCGCCATCCAGTGCCCGGCTCCGCGCCCCCGCCCGCAGCCGTGCGGCACCTCCGCGGCCGGGGAACGCGTCCGGCCCGCGCACGGCCGGGGATGCGCCGGGGCCGCCGCTCGGCTGGGCTCGGCTGGGCTGGGCTC